AAAAAAAAAAGGTTATAACATCAAAGCTACAAAGTTACAGCGATTTCCACTTGAGCGCACCGCGCGCCGAATTTGTTGATTTTGAAACGTTCGCTAATTAGCGCGTCTGAAGTGTCAGACAGTCCGTCTCGGTCGGCCAAACGTTGCACAAAGCGTGAGTGAACGTCTTCTTTGATCGTGAGAACCGCGCGATGGTTTGTATCAGGTGAAGGTGGAGTATTCTCCACAAAAGTTTATATTGRACATTTCTGCCGTCTTAAAACCTCAATCAGCTCTAGATCTTCGGCTGAGAGTTCACTTGGGTTCCCACCTGCACCATCTCTCGGTTTTTCAGTTAGTCCTGCGMACAAGCGCTCCCATATTTTTCRAACCGTACTTGTAGTGACTCTAAACTTGGTTGCAACAGTTTGGTAGAAACCCGGAAAAATTTCTGTGACATCACTATCAAGAACAACAATTTCTTCGAAGATCTGTGTTCAAAGGACGACCATTTTCATAGGTACGGCCAGCTTTACTTAACTTTACATTGTGTTGTGACATTTTCCCAAGAACCCCAAAGGTTCTTTTGACGATCGAGCAACGTTTGGYCGACCGAGACCSACTGTCTGACACTTCAAACGCGCTAATTAGCGAACGTTACAAAATCAACAAATTCGGCGCACGGTGGGCTCAAGTGGAAATCGCTGAAAGACCGAAGGGGAGCATGGGAAGACAAACGATTATGCTAATTTCATGCGTATTGCAGTTTTCCCTTCCTGTGCACATTTGATGCATCATGGCTTTGGCATGTTGTTAATCTAGGTCCACCGACTTTGCTCTACTGTGCATTTTTACATGTCTATATGCAAATATAATACACATTTCAGAGTACCCAAAATCCTTTTCGGTCTAAGCTTTGATGATATGACCTTCTGGAACCCAACTACGTTTTTTCAATTAAGTGTATACCACATCCACATGATCTTGCTATATGGCAATGCTAGATTCAGTCTAAATCTTTGACTGCCTATTTTTTGATTTGCATAAACATAGCCACCACATAGAGTGCACGCACAAAACCTGTAAACGATAACTAGTATTAATTAGCACTACTTTATACAGAATACTTTGTTTTCTATTGTTTATCACTATTTAGTACTAAAACTTGGTATTTGCTTCAATGTTTAGTGCGAGCACCCTAACTCATGGTATAAAAACGTTTCTTAAATCTGTTTTTTTTTTCTGTTGCAGAAGAACTCTTTTAAAGTTTCAAAGCAGGAATTATTATGTAAGTAAATATTTATTCAAACTAACGAAACTAATGCACATCAAACCATGACTTCAATTTGATGGCATTTCTGCTAAAAGGGTCATAGAATCTCATTAACAACCCCAAACAAAKATTAGGAATGTCTCACTTCAATTTCGAGGAATCACTTCAACGCCTTCAGAATAGTGCATTACTTGACATTTCACATTTGTTACAAGMAGCACAAAGAGAGTTAACCAATTTACCACCACTACAAGATCCTTCATGTTTTGTAGGACACTTGAACTCACTTGCAAATGTTGATTGGATTGCACATTCAATGTATCCTAATGATGCGCCATCTGATTTCTGGCCACAAAGTGTGGTTGGTGATGGTAATTGCTTATTTCGTTCAGCAAGTGTTATTGTCTATGGTGATCAATCACACCACATTGAAATGAGACTAAGAGCAAGCATTGAACTATTAACAAACCTTGAATATTATCTTCAACCAAATTTAATGTTTCATACAA